GAGAGGTTGTGGAATATTCTATATTAAGTAACATTTCTACAGTCAACAAGAATACAAGATGTAATAATTAATACGACATTTGGGATGATTATTTTATTCGGTTTATTTCCAGTTTTCTGATTATATTATTCACCTTTATGAGACAAAAGTTTGCATTTACGTAATTATGCACAGGCTGTTTATTAGCATGTTTACTTAAATACATGCACCTTGACGACAAAATAAAATAAAATACATGCACCTTATGGTTGGCGTCTCGAATCTGTTTTGACTTTTTTTTTTAATTTATTTTTGCCTCTGAATTATTATATTAAACATGTTGGTAACCGAGGGTTAAATACAAGGATGAGATTTGAGGGTAGAATGTGAGGGTGAAATATGATACAACAACATCAAAGAGGAACCATAAAAACCAAACGACTAAATTGAAACTAGACATGCAAGTTAAAACCAAGTCTATTAAACCAAACCCATAAACTCCACTTCAAAGAAGCCAATTGCTAATATTTCACATAATCACTGAATCCAGCAACCCTTGCTTCAAAAGGAGCATTCACGGCAAGGATAAAGGAGACGAGGGAACTGCAAACGCACTCGAGATGATACACCAAAGCCCGAGACCAGTTAAGCCAAAGAAGTGTGACAAGAACCAAGACACACCATGAAGAGGAGATCATCAATAACCCGAGTAGCACCCAATCCAACATATGCTTCTTCCATTGATACACAACCCAATACACTAAGGAATTTGTTGATATGCATCGCCGATAGAAGAACCAATTGGAAAATCGTATAGAGAGGAGACTAAACAGGAAGCGAGGTAAGAGAGCCTCAAAACCAACAACTTCACAAGGAAATAGTCACACTTCAAATCAGCCCCATGACCATTCCTATCAAAGGACCAGGACACGAAGAGGCCAAACACACTAAACCAACCAGAGAGGAAAACGAGATAGTACCAACAGATCCATGATATGCAAAAGTCTAGAGCCAACGAGACCGATTCCCACCGCAACCGACCAATCTAAACTGAGCCGGAAACGTAGCCGACACAAACAACGGAAGCAAAGCCCTAAACAAAGAACAACCAAACCCAACACCCAGTGAACGCGAGAAGGGAGGACAAGATCTAACACTTACCACCATCTCAAATCAATAAAACCAACTGATAATCTTCAGGAAGAACCGGATCTGGAGGTGTGACGACTTCGGTAGAATCTTCTCAAACCTAAAAACTATCAGATATGAGAAATAGAAGCCACCAGCTCCGAAAAAACCCGAACACGTGAAGAGATCCCAAAAGCTGAAAACCGAAACCACCACATACGTATCACATATCACATACGTATGACTTTTGTTGAACATATCACATACGTATTAATCTGTATAAAAAAATCGTATTTTTGTTTTTTGAGTAGATATTCTATCATATGTAAAATCTATTCGTCATGATGACGC